GGGAAAGAGAAGGGAAGGGCATGACAGAGGAATGAAATTATTAAAAGAAAAGCCAAATCTGATCATACTTACCTTCCAAACAGCACAACAAAGAGGTATTTCCTCCTTCAATATATCTGAATTCTGCTTTACACAAAAGTGCGAATTTGTTTGGAGAGTGCCTTCTCATTCTCAGTTCTTAGTTCATAACTCAGGTTTGACAGGCTATGGCTTTTTGCGGCCCAAGGAGAGGCAGAGGGTGATGGGCAGCAGCAGAGCCTTCCTGCAGGGGGTTCTGCACAATTTTGGGGGGTTCAACACTTGTACGTGTGCCAACTGAACACAGCCCACGCTGCACTGCCACAGCGTCGTTACCCGGGAAAGTCCAAACCCGCTCCTTTGCTGCTGGTGGGCTGTGCAGCGCAGTGGGACTAGAGAGCGGTGCCATTGCTGGATGTCGGCTCGGGCTTTGGGAAGGCCCAGCTTTTCGGGGAAGTTTGAAGGTGCAGCCACGTTGGTCTGAAGACCTGCAGGTGGGAATTGGGCAGTCCTTGCTCTGTGCCTCCGTGCCCTCACAGCTGGCGTTGCCCTGGAAGTGGTGCTCACGTACCCTCTGATTCAGGGACTTACACCTGCAGAAAGCTGAACAGGTCACTTATTTCACTGGGCACTTACAAAACCCCTCCATGTTTTCATAAGCTCTGTAAAATTTTGAACTTTGTAATAAATCATACTGTGATATTTTACATCTGTGAGGGTGGTTATTTAATCTTACCTAGCATGCTAGAAACTTAGCCAGTGATTTTCAGAGCTGGAGAAAATGTTTGGTCAACTAGGAAAGCAGCAAAGAGGAGAGCTTGCAGGCGGGTTAGCTCTCTGGGTTCGCTGTGGTGTGTGCGAGGGTGGGCTGGGAGGAATAAGGAGAGAGGAGGGGGATTGGGGTAGGGCAGGGGTCTATAAACAGGGGGTTACAGCCCTGGCAGTGGGCATGGACAGGATAGTCGTGAACCCAGGAGTAAAGCTAGAAGTGGGATTCCTGGGAGAAACGGCTTTCAAGAGAGATTTCACAGCCTTCTCTCTACTCTCTCATGCCAAAGGTACTTGAGTGTGACTAGCATCATCTCATTTTACCTGAGAGAAAGAGGGTGCTGAAGAGGTAGAAGGTCAGTATCTGGCATGGGGGAAATGCTCCATCATTTAAAACAAAAAAGAGAAGAAAATGATACATGAGGTTCACCTGCCTGCAACAGATCACAGAAGACAAGGAATTCAATTCAAAGGAAAATTGCGCTGAAAATACGCTTGTAACAGTGAGTATATAAAATGCATGTATTTTAAGTGCAGGATACACCTAGCATAAATGCTGTATTACACAGGCAGCTGTAGGGTCAGAGGGTGCCATTTCTCCCTGGATGGATTCAGTAGTGGCAAGCAAAGTTTTACATTTTCTGTAGCCTGTTCATATCTCTGCAACTTTTATTTTATGTTTCTTCCTTACATACTGTTGCCATTTCTTTCAGTTTTTGGGTTTGGTTTTGTTTTTGGTTTTGTTTTTTTTTTAAAAAAACTGACTAGTAAGAGAAACCATGGCTTGACAGGGGTCTGCTGAAGCTCTGTGCCCCAAACACCACGTAAGCAGCCAGACATGGCAGCCTCTTGGGACGGGCAGGCGTGCGAGGTGTGCGGGGTTGGCAAGGCTGGCGGTGGGCTGAGCTGGGGGCTTCTCTCTTGCCCAGTTCCTGTCACACATGCAGGTCCCAGCAAAGCACATGGGAAAACGGTCTTGGTGGAAAACTGAAGGAGTTTTGAAAGGTTGTACTCAGTGGTATGATGGTATTGCAATCCTGAATGAAGGGAAATTAGGGTTTTTTACCATCTATTTGTGTCATGCTTGATATAAATTATTTAGTCCTGTGGAGATGGTTCTGACTTGTCTTCCAGCATCAGAGTGATGGTGCTATGGATGCTGAGCTGCTGATTCCTCTGGTGGACACCTCAATGGACAGCAGCTGGGGTGGTCATTATGGGTGGGCACCCAAGAACAAAAGATTTTAATTTTCCGAGATGCATGCGTTTGTGAGGGTGGCAGGCACCCTCACGTCTGTCAGGTGGTGTCGCACCTGGGAGCATGAGCACGACCCTGGGACTCCTGCGAGTCAGGCTGTGGGTGACCCCGTTCCCAGGAGGGAGCAGAGATGCTGCCATGGCTGTGCTCAGGAAGGGATGATGGTGAACAGTCCCAGCCTGACGGGAAAGGCTTTTCTCCTGGGCTGATCACACGCTCTGGGTGACGGAGCAGGGAAATCTGTTCTTGCAGCGACAAAGCGGGAGCAGGGTGTGTGCTAAGAGCGGGAGCCTCTGGCAGCAGGAGTTAGGCGAAGCAGGAGAGCTCGCTCTGGAGTCGCCTTAACCCAACCTGCAAAGGCGGCTGCTGTTGCTTTTGTTGTTTTAGCCCCTGGCTACAGAAATGGTGTCTTTTGTCTCCTCTGAAGCAAGCAGAGTGGTATTTCTGAGGGATGGGTTGCCGGGGAGGAGTGGGAGTGCTCCCCGATGCCTGGATACATGCACAAAGGCAGGGGGTGCTCCCCCTGCGTCTGGCACCCTTCCGCGGTGCAGGCGGGCACCCAGGCAACCCCGGCCTTGGCACCCGGCCGCTGGAGTCAGTAGTGACGCCGCAGCCTTGGCCTCTTGTATTAAGGAGAAGTTGGCAAGCTTGGTTCTTTCGGGGAAGCAAGTGCTGAATGCACTCTTCTTTCCTGAGTTTTGGGCCAAATTCAGCTTTTGTGAATGCCTTGGTAAATCCTGAGGTACTCCAGCGAGCGCAGCTGGGCTTTCCAGATTTACGCTGGTGGGTCTGGGGTGGGAGATTTTCTTCTCTCAGCTCAGGCAGGATATTCTTCATCTGGGTTGGTGCTGCGCTCCGTGCCCAGGACAGATGAAGCTTCACAGCCACTTGGTGAAGGGGAAAATGTTGCATGTATCAGAAATCCTGTGTTTGTAACAGGGGCGCACAACAGTAATTGTCTCTTTAGCCAAAGATGAGTGCAGCAGCTCCAGCTCCTCTGCGGGCTGTGCTGTGGTGTGCTCTGGGCACCTACGCACAGCACACCCACAGCCTGGGCATCGGGTCTCCGTTGCCGTAAATTGCATGGGAAGGGTGCAGAGTCGCTGACTGATGGGTCCTTCTGTTAATCCGCACATAGCTGTAGCAGTAATGTAAATTTTCCTGTTACCTCTCTGCTGTATTACTTGAGTCCAGTCAGGTGCCCTGTCCCCTCACCTCTTGGTCTTTTCAGAGCTTGCCAGATCCCCTCTTTTTTTTTTTTTTCTTTGGTGTGTTGGTTGGTTGGTTGTTTTTTTAAAAATTATTATTCTTTTGTTTGTTTGTTTTCGTGTAGGCTGGCTGTCGCGGCTGAGCTGCCCGGCCCG